TTAGTGTGAGTGCGCTGTGCCACACATTAACTGAAATTACGCATAAAATCGCGTCTGCGTCCATGAGTGATTATTTAAGATTAACTTAAATGGAACAAATTCCAAGTATATTTCATGCTACAAGTATACTAAAATATTGACACAATGTTACATTCATTAAAATTCGATATAATTCTTGTTTATCTCTCTTGAACGCAGAAGAATGTCGCAGGAAAGCCATTATTATCAAGATATTTAGACGATTCGTACGAGATACTTGATAACATTTCGCAACTCTGGCTTTCCACGACGGGGGAAAGTATGTTAATTCATACACTCCACACAGCTTGAATGACACAATGCGATCACGAGAAATTGATTGTTATCGTGCAAAACGGACGTGGTTAGGGTAATTGCCGCCTTCGTTGACGGCGGGCTAACGGTGCTGCCAAAAGTTACAAGAGCGAATCGAAGCGCGATCGACGATGCGTAATGGCAAGCGGGGGCAATTGAGAGATGGGAAAAGGAAAAGGAAAGAAACATGAAATACGGGATCGTTCGCGCTTCGAATAAAAACGAACTGTCGTACGAAAGATGCCTAATAAAAACGATGCTTACGACTCTCCGGCCTCGGCACGCTCCTCGGCGCGTTCTAGATCGGCCTCAACCATGGCCAATTTACGGGCGACCTGTATAAACGATACATACATACACCGTTTCTAACATGTGTTCCTAACCGCCTCATCCTTGGCGGTCTCGCCGCCTCTGAAAATTCCGGAGGCGGCGGGACGGCGAGACACCAGCGTCTCGTCGTCGTCATCGCAGCGACTGGAAGAGTTACAGTCTTCGCGGAGATTCTTTTTAATACGCTCAAAGCCTGCCGGCAATATTTACATTTAATCCGCGAGTGTCTAGAGCTACAGTTTCACAAGAAAGAAAAAAGTATTACACATCTTTGTGAAAAAGTATGTGTAACAATAGTTTGAAAGAATTTATCATATTCATATAATTTCTTGTAGAATTAAAGGAAGATATTTGCGCACACTTTGTGCTTAATATTGATATGTATGCTTTTTCAGAGCTCGTATTCGAATTGAAACAAGCTGTTAGCGACAGACTAAACTGTTGCACTTCATTCGAGTAACCAATCTTTTTGAACGCTCATAAGTGGATAACTTCTTCCAATCGGCTGCGCTGTCGAAGACCAAACGATCAAAAATGCAGCACGCAAGTCGCGTCACGCAAATTGCAGCTCAGTCCTGATCGATTTGTAAGCGCACGCAAGAGAGTAAAATGTATGATGTGCGCGCAGAAAAAAGATCGTCATAATTTAGGAAAGTTTTGAGGTTTCAGCATTCGTTGAATATATCTTGGCCACAGTTATGTATATGTTGGCTAATAACTGATTCATATGGACGATCTTTTTATTCATACAGCACAACCTTCGCGCAACCGTGACGCAACCAATCGCAAAATAATTTTTTCACAAAAATTTTATCAAAAGATCCACGATTCCCGCGAGTTTGATTAATAGATTTGCATTTTTGTTCTTATTTCAGATTATTATTATCAGCTTGAAGAGCTTTCACGCGAGGGACGCCGAGTTTGTGCATCTCGTTTAAGATTCACTTCGAACTCTTGTATTCAACATAATTGCTCACGAATGACTCGCACGGTGCTCGCTGAAAGGTAATAACCGTGATTTCAAGGCGATGAAAAAGATTTCATTCAACTCGCTGAGGAAATGCAAATCGGTTCGTTCCGATTCTGTAATTATACTCAATGCGCGTTCACAGTATTTAGCATTGTAATTTGTAGCAAAATGCAGATCACAATAAATTTCTTTTGCAAAATTCTTTAATTTTCATGATATTTTTCACATTATTTCTCACGAAGAAGTTGCGACACGTTTCCGCAGATAAACGGCAATTCGCAAGTTGTCTTAGAAAAAACACATTTAACGAAGATATTAGCACACTCGGTTGCTGTTAGAACTTGTCGTCATCTCTGTGAGTTTCTGTAATGATTGGACAGTTAGATAGTTAATTAAAAGGTTAAAACAAACAATTGAGAAGGCAACTATCTACTGAAATAAATTGGGCAATTTATATGACAGCGCGATAGGATAAACTCTAGCACACCATTTTGCGTATTGCTAATTAACGATTCAACAAATCACATGGAGTATCACCAGATGAAAAATCAGTTGAAGTTACGGTGAATTCAGAAATTCTGGAATGAAATTTCAAAAAATTATAAATTCTCCGATTACATAACGATAGTTCATATATCAAAATAAAATGTCATTAAAACAAAATTAACAAAATTAGCATTTTTTGTAATTAATATTGCAAAAAAAATGAAGAAATATCACAAACGTGATGTATTCCGTCATAGACAAATTTTTATAGTATAAAAAATCGTGTTGCTGAATCACCTGCATGAAAGATCTGTCATAGCAAACATATTACAACAACAAAAATGTTCGTGTTATCTGCGGTATCTTATTCCAAGATTTTTATCTCGAGATAACGCTGTGATTTCTCAAAGACGGACGAATGACAAATTTTATGTCACCGTAACTTCAACGTTATCGCGACCAACACCTACCATCACAACTCTCATTATTCTGGCGCATATTCCGAACTCCAGCAAAGCGAAACGAATTGCCTTTGGGCAAAAGCAGCACCATATCGTTGACGCGATGCCGCGATAAAGTCGCGCGGCTTTTTCGCTTATCACAACACAATTGACGATACTGTTATTTAATTAACGAGGCCGGTCTCGGCGGCGGGCGGGAAACAACAAATCGAGCACGCGGCCAAACCTTCGCGACAACATCGTCCTCGTTAAAGAAATATCGAATTATCATAAGCACGCGCGTTCCGCGAACATCTCCGAGACTTGACCGTGCGACTACCGCTAATCTAGGAAATATCTAACAACAGGAGTAGCAACAACGTGATTAAATTCTATTTATGAAACTGGCACTTTGAGATTTTGCTTTAACCGAAAAAGAAAAACACTTGGAAATCACAGATATTCTGATCTTATGTTTAAGTCGCGCTCGAAACACGTGAACACTGCATATATCACCACTCTCTTCCTTCGTTTCTTCTCGCGTGATCCTCGCGGATCTCTAGATCCTCTCTATACCGAAACGGAAAGAACGATCTTTCGAACACTGCACTGTCGCGAACATATAAAACTTTTTTAAAAAAAAAATTTCACTTTCATAGCGCAATCACAGATCGGCATTCACGATTTAGCCTTTACGCCTGCGAGATTTCACTATCGGGCGATTCTCCGCCTTTTTAACTTTTTTTTTTACGATCGACGGAAAGCTTATCGCGACGCGAGCAACGTGGTAAGATCGCCTCCTTTTAACAACACGATCGATCCTTAAACGAATCGACAGACGAATTTAACAGACGTGCCCCCCCGCGGGCCACGTATTATCATATATTTTTCACGACGGAGAAACGCGTACGTATCGAACCATGGTGTTTTTCGAGCACACAAAGAGAAGACAGAGAATTACGGGGTTAGGCACTATTTTGACTATCGACTAGGAACCATCATCGTCACTGCAGCCAACACACTCGGCGATAGCAGCCGCGACGGGCGCGCGAACCTCATCGTATTTCTTGTCGGCTTCTTCGGCGAGGAACCTGGCCTCCTTCAGCTGATTCTCGAGGGCGTCCATGCGCTCTTCGTCCGCCAAGCTGCGATTCTCGAGAATCTTGCGGGCGCTTTAAGGTGGACACATGTCGAACGAAAGAATTCACGATTAAAAACCGAATATATAAATAGATGCGGGATAAAAGATAGCTTTCTGATGATCGTCCGGGAACGCCCACTCCGCTCAGCTACAACACCGCGTCTACCTGTCAAATTTATCTGAAAGAAAGTACCGGAGGAAAACCACCGATCGACTTGGACGATCCTTTGTAATTGTATAGAATTATTATTCTATAGCTGTATCCCTAATCCTATTTCTTCATAAATAAAATCTTTTTTTCCATAGAAATACTTCGGTAAATAGCAGAGAGATTTGTGAAAACGATGAATCACGAATCAAGCGCCCTAACGATTGGTAGTCTGCCTCCGACAACAGAAATAAAGGGTTTTTCGCTCCCTTTTTTTATTGTTCTTTGTTCGCTGGTACGTGACCCACCTCCTCGTATTTCTTATCCGCCTCCTCTGCAATCAGTTTAGCCTGTGCTAGTTGTTGCTCCAGCAAAGCTACTCGGTCGTCCTCCATGTTGGTGCGGTTTTCGAGGGCCTTGCGTATCCTAGCGATCGATCGTTCGTCGATTTTTAGAGACAAGTTAATATCGTCGTTGAAAGAATGATCATCGTTGCATATGAAATGATTGTTTCGTTCACCGCTCAGTTATTTAAAAAGTTTGATTTTTTCGCAATCAAAAAACAATATAAATCCGGAAATATTTTTATACCTTTTGTGCTGTTTTTATCGAATTCAAATTTATTGTATAATATCTGCATATCGATTAGTTTTATCGATTTTATATTAAAATGGAAATATATGCATTTCAATTTCACGTCTTTTATGTGACGCGTGATGTGGATAAATCTACTATATAACAGATAAAAAAAGGACTACAATAGCAAAGATCAACGAACATATATGACACTTTCTTGTATGTGAGAAAATGAATGTCGTAGCAAGAAGTGTAAAGCATGTACACGTCATCCGTTATCACAACGATAAGCAAGCTTACCGTTATTTTAAGCATTTACGTACTGCCATAAAATAATCATGATCGGCGATTAAAGTTTCGAAAATATGAATGCATTTATTGCTTCACACACATTTTGCCGCGTATATTGTAAAAAGCAAATTAAAAATCAACCGTAGTTCCAAATTATTTCGATGTGTCGTAAACTTAATTATTTTTTAGTAATAAATAATTAACAAGAAAGAATATTTAGAAATTACTTTTCCATTGTAAAATAAAAACGAGAAAATATTTTAGAAAAATTTATACCAAGTTGCTAAAAGTGAAGTTATCGTCGGATATTATATGTACGTTACCGCAAAAAGACTAGGATGTGGTATTTAAAATCCGCAAAATCTTATACTACAAAGATTATACAACAAATATATAGAGAAAAAACATATTGAAGAGTTATTCTCTTACAGCTATACATTATTCTTTGCATTATGCGATGCAATAACTCTGATCAATGATCGAAATCTATGGTATTCTTATTTTTGCAATGATTGAACACCTATTCTTCCACATATATTTATCGTGGAGATAATATGGCAAAATTGGTATACTGATTATAGTTTTCGCATTTTGGTACTTGTCGTAATTATATACGAGCAACTAGAATATTAAGAAGCTAATCACATTGGGGTCTATATTCGGAGATATTAGTCACAGAAAATTATGCGTTGCATTGAAATTGCATTATTATGTCACGGAAAGATGAATCAAAAGATACTCATTTTTTCAGATCAATTCTTTCAATGTAAGACGATGCAAGGTCAATTTATATAAAATAATTCTTTATAAAAAAAATATGACTCAAAATAATGGTAATTTTATATTAATATCCATATAGAATATATACGATAAATTTATAACAAAAGTGATATAAATTGTGTAGCAATTTTTGAGATATACTTCGATTTTTATATTTATTAATGTTGAAAAATTTAGCTAAATGCTACAAAGAATTTGCATATTTAATATACTGTATGAATAATATTGTATTAAGAAACTTTACTAACATAATTCGTTTATTTCGTTTATTTCGACTGTATAAAATAATGAGATAGCCAAAATAGTAAAATTTGATTTATACCACTTTTGCGTTTCACTCGTAATTAATTTTTTTATTCTGACAATGTTGGATTTTTCGAAGATAGTACATAAGAATGATCAAGAGTAAAATATTATAAATCCGATTTTCTGCATCCATTCTAATCACTAATTAGTGGCTTGACGACAAACATGTTAAGAAGTCTTATTACCAACATTCAATCTGATTATGTAATACATAATATTAATCTTAATCATTCTTAAGAAGATAAAAGAAAAGATATGTAACAATGAGCAACTATTTTGTATTAACGTATTTAAGCATTTTTTGTCATATAAATTATATCAGGAGACGCGGTAGTGTCTCCGGCCAAGTTCAAAAAACGACACTACTAAGTCAGGAAAAAAGTCTCTTAATTATTTTAAAAAATATTTATTCAAGATATTTTTTCATCTATTTTTATTAAGATAATCGCTCATTGCAACTAATAAATTAGATGATCATTTGCAATAAATCGGAATATTTTTGTCGGACATAGTATGGGAAACTTACCGTTCACTCTCATCGGCAGCTTGCGATGCCTCCGCCAATTTGGCAGTGGCAGTGGCAAGGCGCTCCTCGGATCGCTCGAGGTCCTCCTCCAGCAGTTGGATACGACGATTCAAGGCGGCCACTTCAGACTCAGCCTGTACACAAAAGAATCCGGTCCATATAAATAAAAGTTAACACACAGCTTCTATTTTATACAATAGTCACATAATAATATTTAATATCAGAGACTGATGTGTCAGAAACTGTTCAAGATTTATATTAACAATGATTAATGTGGAATAACGAAAAAAAAAGGATACAACGCGCATTTATAATACATTAAGAGAAAAATATGCTTGTTGTTGACGTCACGTCAATAATTCGACGTTAATTGCTGTTATTTACAAAATTTATTTAGATTATAAAATGTAAATCGAAGATGTAACGCGTCAGATCTGGAAGCAATTGAGGTAGTTTAACAGAATTGTACGAGGCAACGTCAAATGAAACGGCTGATCCACTATTATTCCCTGCGGTCTGCCGGTAAAACGTATGATTAGGAACGCATGCCGGATTAGGAACGATCTGAATCCAATTTAATGCCGTAACGTGCCGAGCGCGATCAACGCTTGTAACAAAGCGCTCAGCTGGAGATCGTAAAGAGATCTCCACATGCATATCAATGACCCCGGGGGTTGTCTAGCGTGCTGCATTAAGTGTTAAACCAAACGTATTATCATTGTACACGTCATTGGCTTCGACGAAACTCGTCCTTAAATACACGTTGTTTTACTGCCGATCAAACGGTAAGATATATCGGACTTTCGTTCGAGATAGATGCTTTTAGATTTCAGATTTTTGCGATTAGCGATACGCAGCACAGATTGGTTTTCGATACAATCGATAAGGTCCGTAAAGTGTCGGTGAACGTAAGACAATATAAAATCAGCTTTCTGTCAGATTATTTACTCTCAAAAATACAATTACTGAAAATTGAATAAATATTAAAATATCTATTTCCAAAGAAAGTGTGTATTTATTAATTGGCGAACTTTCACTTCTGTTGCTAACACATACATATAAATTAATTAATTTCAAACCGTAGATGTGGATATTTTTAGTCGTAATTATTTTCGAGAAAAATAACTTGTAATTATTGGCGAAGTTGTGCGAGAGATTAAACGAAGCGTACGATTTTGACGGATGTAAATTGCTCAACGGTCGATTACACGTGTATCCGCGTACACACAATTCGAGGTCCCTCGTCCTCGTTAGCTGCACCTGTTTACGATTGTGCGTCTAGTAAATGCCCCCAATTTATCGCGGCATGTAGGGAACGCGTCCTTTTACAGCGTTACTTTATTAACGGTACGTGAACTTTGTATTCATGGATTTCGGCACACCTATGTGCGCGTTTATGGGGGGTGATGTCAGCGGTCTGACAGCAACGATTGCATAACCACTTAAACGTGACCGTGATATTACAAACAGCGCTACTCGGCCACGATTATTATTACTACTACTGTCTACCGTCGTTTTTCATCTTCCCTTTGAGTAAAACAAAATGATCCTGTCATAATATATTTGCATTTATATAGATTTGTGTAGATAAAACATGGTGTAAAATAAAATTCTGACATGTAATATAACTTTGTGAATTCTTAAAAATATTTTTAAATAATTACTTTAGTTTGCAAACTTACAACGCATCTCGATGAATATTTATATTAAATATTAACAATTTTAGTGGGTGTTTCAGGTACAATCATTGAGCTTCCGCAACGAGTTAGCGCGAACGCAACAACGTAAAACTTAGCTGGCATCGCTCTCATCGCTACGCTGCTCTACGCTCGATCCTGCATACACGCAATATTACGTATGCTTTTGTGCGGCGTTACCTTTCCCAATATGCAACTTTGCATGTGTTCTATTCGGAGGAAACCGGCACGCCCATTCGCACTTGTGCCGAGCGAGCAGGTCGTCACATCGGTGGTATTCACGGTGAGTAAGTGTGCCAAACTTCCGCCTCGTCCGACCCTTTTCCATAGACTTCCATTAAAATCCATTTAATTCGTCCTGCAGTTCGACCGACATTGATCGCAATTGTAGGGACCGATAATAATTTAGCGAATCAATATGTTTTCAGATCCAAAATTCATCGATATTAAGATAGAATCTCGAAATTACAATTTTGTTTATAAAAAATAATGAAACCGAAGTGAAAAGTGTAAAAGAAATAGAGGATAGTATAATTTTATCACATGTATAAATTAAAATTAAAAAAAACCACTTATTTTCATTCGCACGAAACCCTGAGTATACGCTAAATATGTGCTGATATTTATTCGTAAGTAAATTCACTCAAGGCGTCGCGAGAAATGTCGGCATTTTGTTATGTAAACTTGTCGACAATAAAGACCCTGAAACCGTACTGTCATTCCAAATCCCCAAGATATCGCTTTCGCGCCGGACTTTCGATGCACGAGCAAATCAATAAGAGACTTGTCTTATCGCGTTTTCGTCTATGTGTGTAACTGAATCAGTGGGCGATAATAACGCATCGCGCCTTATCATTGCCTTCGATTGAAATCGAAAAAGGTTTTTTTCAATACTGCATCACAGTGCACCTCATTGCCCATTGACAAAAGCTTGTTACTACGGTCTGAGCGAGTCTATCCGTTGGCCTTTAGAACGCATTGCACGCATTACCGGGTGCACTTTATCGCGAGTGCACATCGGATAAAAAATTAAGTTTACTTCTGCAGATTACACATCACGCGGACGAAAATATATAGCTTTATCCTGAGCGAAATTTGATTGCGAATCACTGAAATTTCATTGTATCAAATGCAGTGCTTCAGTGCAACATAATTCATATTATTTAATTAATTAAATGCAATTAATTTTCATATTCTATATGGAATTGAAAGCATACGAATGTTAAAGCGATAATACAGCTTAAGAAGATGTCGAATAAAAAGTAGATTGAGAAATCGTTAATTTATTGACTGTCGCGTATAATGTGGTGATAAATGATGTATGATGAGTGATCTATAATTTTCCGTAATTAATGATATAATGAATGATCCGCTGCACGAAGGATGCATTTCATGAGTTTGCTCAAGTTTTCAATTAGAATACGGAGACCTATCATTTAAGACGACAGGATATTGAAACCGTCAATAGGCTTCTTCGACACGGTCTGTCGACAGAAGAAATACATCTACATGAGAGACACGCAACGCTCTATGCAAATACTTGTAAGATTTTCTGAACAACATAATGAATGCTTCAACCTAAAAGCCGTTTAATATAATCGGTAGTATAATAAAAAAATTGATACATGTGTAGTAAACATAACTAATATTCAATATTTTTGCTTTAAACTGGCATTAAATGTTAATGTCGAATATTTAACGACAAATAATACTCATTCAGACAGAATGTAATATACGCGATCGATAAATATTAATAGTAGAAATTCAAAGAGGGAATTATGATTATTATTTTCATATTGAATTAATATAAAAAATATCTTAAGCAAGTGAAAGTGTGCGACACACTGACTTTACTAATTACGAATCACATTATATTTTTATGACATAGAATTTCACGGTGGATTATTGAATTTAGATTCAGATTTTTAGACTTTCGATTGTTCGGCCAATAGTTTAGAAAATCAAATATAATTAAAATTTTCATGTTTTACAGTTATATACAGTGTTTCATAATGTCCGTGCCAACGCTCGTGTGCGAGTAGAGCGCGGTAAACTGAATAGAAAAGTCCTTTACCGTTTTGCAATTTTTGTAATAATAATTGAGATATTAATTAAAAAGGATTGACGAATAACACTCTACACTCTAGACTGTACACTCTAGGCTGACAGCAACGAGGATCGCACGGCAACGAAAAATAACAATGCATGGCGAGAGTAGGAGTAATACGTTTTGTAATTTTTCGTTGCGATCCTCGTTGCTATCACGCCTAGAGTGTACAGTTCATGGTCTAGCCGCGCGCAACGCGTGATTATTCGTCAATCCTTCTTAATTAATATTCCAATTATTATTGCGAAAATTGCAAAACGGTAAAGGAACTTTTCGGTTTACCGCACTCTACCCGCACACGAGCGTTGGCACGGACATTACGAAACACCCTGTATAATGAGTACTAAAAGCTTTTCAGTTATAAAATAACAACTCCAAAAAGTTTAAAATTAGGACAGTTCAATATTCTGACTTGACGTATTGTTAAATTATTAAAAATCCTGGAAATAAGTAGCCAAAGTAAAATTGCCAAAAACGTCTTGAACATTTTCTGATCAATCACGCGTATCTCAATATATCGCTACTTTTGCTCGGCATGTCGCAGTTGCACTTGTTAAGGGCAATTTTACGGATCAGCCGATCGTGACTTTGACATTCGACGGCTGTGTTCGCGCACTTTGACGAGACACGCCATTCGTGAAGGGAAAAAGAAGCGAGAAACGGCCAAGATTGTGGTGCAAATCCGTTAAATCGAGGCTGATGAACAACTCACCGGGGAGGCTCCGGCTCGTTTCACTTGTGCACGTTTTGCCACGTAACCGTGTGCCTCAGGTATGCTGGCGTGTCAGTAAACGAACAGTTAATACACTGTGTCTTCTAGACCCTTCCGTAATGATCTCATCTCCTCGTTGCGAAAAATTGTCAACGTGGGGACGATTATATCTCGGCAGTTACATATTTTAAAATTGTTTTAATTATATTTTAATTAAAACCTTCACCCCCCCCCCTACTTTTTGCGCTAGATGTAATGGCTGTATACTTATCGATTATTAAGAGTTTTTAAAAGCAATGACTTTTATCAATTTCTTAAATCGCGGTAATGCGTTAAAGCGTAATTATTTTTACATGCAGATAGCTGAGTTTTCACATTTTGCGTAAGTAGATAAGATAATTGTTTCAGGATATGTAAAAAAAACTTCCTGAAACTACTGACAATAGATTGCATAACAGGTAATTGCACGAATATATGGCAATCTGATGGTGTTTACAAGATAGAATCTAACGGATCGGTATGCATAACGGCAACTGCTGTCCGAAGAATCTCAAACGAAGACTTAATGCATTTTTATATAGCTAGTTTTATGACAGATAAACCGCTATATGGTTTATC